CCTATATCCCCTATACCCCCATATCCCCTACATCCCCTATACCCCCATATCCCCTATACCCCCTATACCCCCTATATCCCCCATACCCCCTATATCCCCCATACCCCCCATACCCCCATACCCCCCATACCCCCTATACCCCCTATACCCCCCACACCCCCCATACCCCCTATACCCCCCATAACCCCTATAGCCCCATTATCCCCTATACCCCCTGTACCCCATTGTACCCCCCATACCCCCTATAACCCCTATACCCCCCATACCCCCTATACCCCCCACACCCCCACACCCCCCACACTCCCCACACCCCCATCACCCCCACAACCCCCATACCCCGCACACCCCCTATACCCCCCATACCCCCTATACCCCCTATACCCCCCATACCCCCCATACCCCCTATACCCCCCATACCCCCCACCCCCCATACCCCCTATAACCCCTATACCCCTTCCCTATACCCCCCATCCCGCCCCCCCCCCCCGAAGGCCTCAGCAACATCATCGGGGTCATCGTGTACATCTCCTCGAACGCGGGGGGGGAGCCGGGCCCCCGCCGGGAGGAGCCTCGCCGCCGCCATTACTCCTACGGCTGGTCCTTCTACTTCGGGGGGCTGAGCTTCATCCTGGCCGAGGCCATCGGCGTCCTCGCCGTCAACCTCTACATCGAGCGGCACCGCAAGTCACGTGCGCCGGTCACGGGAACAACGCCCGCGGCCCCGCCTCCCCCGCCCCGCGCCCCGCCCCCCGGCCCCAGGCCCCGCCCCCCCCGCCGCCGCTCCCGCTCCAGCTCCCGCTCCAGCGACCCCGGCGCCGCCCCGCCCCCTCCCCCCCCGCCGCCCCCTCCCCCACCCCCCCCGCCCCCCGCTTCCAAGGGTGGGGGAGGGGCCGCCCCCCCCGCAGACATCTCCATGTACACGCTGAGCAGGGACGGGGGAGGGGCGGTGACGTCATCGGCCCCGCCCCCACCCGGCACCCCCGGCCCCCCCTTCCTGCAGCTCCACAACGCGTTCGGGAAGGAACCTCCCGGAGCGGGGGGAGGGGGAGCGGGGGGAGGGGCAGGGGCGGGGGGAGGGGGCGGCCCCGAGAGCGTGTCCGGGACCAGCACCCTCAACCGGAAAACGACCCCCGTGTAGGGACCCCCGCCCCCACCCACCCCCCCCCCACTGCGGGCAATGGGACAGCACCCACTGGGGACCCCCAGCACCCATTGGGGACCCCCAGCACCCATTGGGGACCCCCAGCACCCATTGGGACCCCCAGCACCCATTGGGACCCCCAGCACCCATTGGGACCCCCAGCACCCATTGGGACCCATTGGGGACCCCCAGCACCCATTGGGGACCCCCAGCACCCATTGGGACCCTCAGCATCCATTGGGACCCATTGGGACCCCCAGCACCCATTGGGGACCCACTGGGGACCCCCAGCACCCATTGGGGACCCCCAGCACCCATTGGGACCCTCAGCATCCATTGGGACCCACTGGGGACCCCAGCATCCATTGGGACCCATTGAGAACCCCCCCACCCATTGGGACCCCCAACATCCATTGGGACCCCCCCGCACCCACTGGGACTCCCCAGCATCCATAGGGCCCCATTGGGACCCCCCCGCACCCATTGGGACACCCCAGCATCCATAGGGCCCCACTGGAACCCCCCCGCACCCATTGGACCCCCCCAGTGCCCATAGGGACCCATGGGGCCCCCCCCCCCGAGCCATTGGGACCTATTGGTCCCCCCCTCGGATGCTTTGGGTCATCCCAGCATCCCTAGGGACCCATTGGGTCCCCCCCGCACCCATTGGGCCCCCCCAGCATCCCTAGGGCCCCATTCACCCCCAGTGCCCCCCCCTTGCTCCCAGCCGCCCCCGTTAATGAATGTGTGTTAATTGTCCCCGTGTCTATGGAGGGGGGGGGCCGGGATCATTGGGAGCCCCCCCCCAACCGCGTGCCCCGAGGCCACGCCCCTCCTCTGTACAGCCCCGCCCCTCCTCTGTACAGCCCCGCCTCTTCCCCGCGTTAGCTACGCCCCCTCCTTGTTCATGTGATCCGCGCTGGCCACGCCCCTTTTGTACAGGCCCCGCCCCCGCGCCCCCCCCCCCCCCCCCCGCATGGGTTTTTACGCTGTTTAAATAAACCGGAGTCTCTGGAACAGCCGCGAGGGGGGGGGAGGGAGGCGGTCACCATGGTAACGGGGGGAGGCGGTCACCATGGTAACGGGGGGAGAGAGGCTGTCACCATGGTAACGGGGGGGAGGCTGTCACCATGGCAACGGGGGGAGGCGGTCACCATGGCAACGGGGGGAGAGGGAGGCTGTCACCATGGCAACGGGGGGAGGCTGTCACCATGGTAACGGGGGGAGAGAGGCTGTCACCATGGCAACGGGGGGAGACTGTCACCATGGCAACGGGGGGAGAGAGGCTGTCACCATGGTAATGGGGGCAGTCACCATGGTAACAGGGGGGAGGGAGGCGGTCACCATGGCAACGGGGGGGGAGAGAGGCTGTCACCATGGTAACGGGGGGAGAGAGGCTATCACCATGGTAACGGGGGGAGAGAGGCTGTCACCATGGTAACGGGGGGGAGGGAGGCGTCACCATGGCAACGGGGGGCTGACACAATGGCAACGGGAGGAGGGAGGTTATCACCATGGCAACGGGAGGGTTATCACCATGGCAACCAGATGAGATTGTCTCAATGGCAACGAGGGGAGGCTGTTGCCATGGCAATGGGGGGCTGTCACTATGGCAACGGGGGGGAAGGTTGTCGCCATGGCAATGTGGGGGCTGTTGCTGTGGCAACGGGAGGGGGGGGAGGCTGTCACCATGGTAATGGGGGGAGGCTGTCACCATGGCAACGCTGAGGAGAGCAGGTTTGGGGGGGGTGAGGGGGTGTGTCCCCCAAGACGGGGTGTGGGAGCTCATTAATATTAATGAGGGATAATGGTAATGAGAGGTTAATATTAATGACGCCCTTAGAACCAGCTTCCTGCCCTCCCATTGGCTCCTCACCCTGTCAATCATCGCTGCAACCGCCCTCATCGGGCAGGTCCCGCCCCCCAGAAGTGTTCCTGACCTCTCATTGGCCAGCCTCCTTGCCAATCCCATACCTCCGCCTCCCATTGGCTGACGCCGTCCGCCGCTCCCCGCGCCTCGCCGGCCTCCCATCCCGTTCCCATCCCGCCGCTCTATCCCGCTCCCTCCCGTTCCCATCCCGCTCCCATCCCGTTCCCATCCCGCTCCATCCCGTTCCCATCCTGCTCCCATCCCCCTCCCATCCCGCTCCCATCCCGTTCCCATCCCGGCCCCATCCCGTTCCCATCCCGCTCCCATCCCGTTCCCATCCCGCTCCCATCCCGTTCCCATCCCGTTCCCATCCCGCTCCCATCCCGCTCCCATCCCGCTCCCATCCCGCTCCATCCCGTTCCCATCCCGGCCCCATCCCGCTCCCATCCCGCTCCCATCCCGCTCCCATCCCGTTCCCATCCCGCTCCCATCCCGCTCCCATCCCGTTCCCATCCCGTTCCCATCCCGCTCCCATCCCGGCTCCATCCCGCTCCCATCCCGTTCCCATCCCGCTCCCATCCCGCTCCCATCCCGTTCCCATCCCGCTCCCATCCCGCTCCCATCCCATTCCCATCCCGTTCCCATCCCGCTCCCATCCCGTTCCCATCCCGCTCCCATCCCGTTCCCATCCCGCTCCCATCCCGTTCCCATCCCGCCGCTCCATCCCGCTCCATCCCGTTCCCATCCCGTTCCCATCCCGCTCCCATCCCGGCTCCCATCCCGTTCCCATCCCGACTCCATCCCGTTCCCATCCCGCTCCCATCCCGCTGCCATCCCGCTCCCATCCCGTTCCCATCCCGCTCCCATCCCGGCTCCCATCCCGTTCCCATCCCGCTCCCATCCCGCTCCCATCCCGCTCCCATCCCGCTCCATCCCGTTCCCATCCCGGCTCCATCCCGTTCCCATCCCGCTCCCATCCCTCTGCCATCCCGCTCCCATCCCGCTCCCATCCCGTTCCCATCCCGTTCCCATCCCGCTCCCATCCCACTCCCATCCCGTTCCCATCCCGTTCCCATCCCGCTCCCATCCCGCTCCCATCCCGCTCCCATCCCGTTCCCATCCCGCTCCCATCCCGCTCCCATCCCGCTCCCATCCCGGCTCCATCCTGCTCCCATCCCGTTCCCATCCCGTTCCCATCCCGCTCCCATCCCGTTCCCATCCCGGCCCCATCCCGTTCCCATCCCGCTCCCATCCCGTTCCCATCCCGCTCCCATCCCGTTCCCATCCCACTCCCATCCCGCTCCCATCCCGCTCCCATCCCCCCATCCCAGCTCCATCCCGTTCCCATCCCACTCCCACCCCGCTCCCATTCCCATCCCGCTCCCCATCCCTCCCCCATCCCGCTCCCATCCTCCATCCCGCTCCCATCCCGTTCCCGAGCCCCCCATTGCTCCCATCCCATCCCCGTTCCCCCTATTACTATTACTCACATTCCCCCCATTCCCCCCATTGGCCCCATTGCCCCCCATTGCCCCCCCTGACCCCCCTTTCCCTGCAGCAAGACCCTGCAGCGGAGCCGTAAGATGGGGATGGGCCGCAAGAAGTTCAACATGGACCCCAAGAAGGTGGCAGCAGGAGGGGGGTTTGGGGGGGTCCCGTCCCCCCCCATTGCCCCCCCTGACCCCCCCATGGGTGCAGGGGATCCAGTTCCTGGTGCAGAACGAGCTGCTCCGGCTGACGGCCGAGGACGTCGCCCGCTTCCTGTACAAGGGCGAGGGGCTCAACAAGACGGCCATAGGGGATTACCTGGGGGAGAGGTGGGGCCGGAGGGGCGGGGCTTAACGGGAGGGGCGGGGTTTAACGGGGAGGGGCTCAACAAGACCGCCATAGGGGATTACCTGGGGGAGAGGTGGGGCACGAGGGGCGGGGATTAACGGGAGGGGCGGGGCTTAACGGGGAGGGGCTCAACGAGACGGCCATAGGGGATTACCTGGGGGAGAGGTGGGGCCCGAGGGGCGGGGCTTAACGGGAGGGGCGGGGCTTAACGGGGAGGGGCTCAACAAGACGGCCATAGGGGATTACCTGGGGGAGAGGTGGGGCCGGAGGGGCGGGGCGTCGTGGGCAGGGGAGGGGCATAACGGGGAGGGGCTCAACAAGACGGCCATAGGGGATTACCTGGGGGAGAGGTGGGGCCAGAGGGGCGGGGCTTAACGAGAGGGGCGGGGCTTAACGGGGAGGGGCGGGGCTTTAAGAGGTGGGGCCGGAGGGGCTCTTAAGGGGAGGGGCGGGGCTTAACGGGGAGGGGCTCAACGAGGCGGCCATAGGGGATTACCTGGGGGAGAGGTGGGGCCCGAGGGGCGGGGCTTAACGGGAGGGGCTTAAGGTAAAGGGGAGGGGCTCAACAAGATCACCATAGGGGACTACTTGGGGGAGAGGTGCAAGGGGAGGGGCTTAGGGGAGGGGCAGGCCTTGAGGGGAGGGGCTTAAGGGGATGGGAGGGGCTTAAGGAGAAGGGGCTTAGGGGGTGGGGCTTAGGGGAAAGGGAGGGGTTTAAGGGGAGGGGAGGGGCTTGTATGAAGGGGTTAAGAGAAAGGGGGGCTATGGGGGAAGGATGGGGCTTAGAGTGTAGGGGAGGGGCTTGAGGAAGGGGCGGGGTTTAAAGGGGAGGGGCCAAGGGAGTGGGCTCCTAGAAGGGGAGGGGCTTAATGATGGGGGGCGGGGGTTCCCTAAGCCCCTCCCCTTTGGGAGCAACCGCAGGTGGCTGGAGTGGTTTGCGCTGGGTGGGCGGGGCCAGGCGCGGTGGGCGGGGCCATGGGTGACTCCTCCCCCCCAGGGAGGAGTTCAACCTGGGCGTGCTCCACGCCTTCGTGGACCTGCACGAGTTCACGGACCTGAACCTGGTGCAGGCGCTGAGGTGAGGCCGGGGGGCAATGGGGGTCAATGGGGGGTGATGGGGATGCATTGGGGTCAATGGGGGTTTTGGGGGGGGCATTGGGGTCAAAGGGGTGCATTGGGGGTGCATTGGGGTCATGGGGGTGCATTGGGGTCATGGGGGTGCATTGGGGGTGCATTGGGGTCATGGGGGTGCATTGGGGTCAAAGGTGCATTGGGGATGCATTGGGGTCAATGGGGTGCATTGGGGTCAATGGGGTGCATTGGGGGTGCATTGGGGTCAATGGGGGTGCATTGGGGATGCATTGGGGTCAATGGGGATGCATTGGGGTCAATGGGAGTGCATTGGGGTCATGGGGGTGCATTGGGGGTGCATTGGGGTCAATGGGGGTTTTGGGGGTGCATTGGGGTCAATGGGGGTTTTGGGGGTGCATTGGGGTCAATGGGGATGCATTGGGGTCAATGGGGGTGCATTGGGGCCAGTGGGAGTGCATTGGGGTCAATGGGGGTTTTGGGGGTGCATTGGGGTCAATGGGGATGCATTGGGGTCAATGGGGGTGCATTGGGGTCAATGGGGGTGCACTGGGGTCAATGGGTGGCATTGGGGTCAATGGGGTCAATGAGGGGCATTGGGGTCAATGGGGGTGCACTGGGGTCAATGGGGGGCATTGGGGTCAATGGGGGCATTGGGGTCAATGGGGGTGCATTGGGGGTGCATTGGGGTCAATGGGGATGCATTGGGGATGCATTGGGGTTAATGGGGATGCATTGGGGGTGCATTGGGGTCAATGGGGGTGCATTGGGGATGCATTGGGGGTGCATTGGGGGTGCATTGGGGTCAATGGGGGTGCATTGGGGATGCATTGGGGTCAATGGGGATGCATTGGGGGTGCATTGGGGTCAATGGGGATGCATTGGGGATGCATTGGGGTCAATGGGGGTGCATTGGGGTCAATGGGGGTTTTGGGGGTCCCCCCCCCCAGGCAGTTCCTTTGGAGCTTTCGGCTGCCGGGGGAGGCGCAGAAAATCGACCGCATGATGGAGGCCTTCGCGCAGCGGTACTGCCTCTGCAACCCGGGGGTCTTCCAGTGCACAGGTACAGCCCCATAGCGCCCCATAGCGCCCCATAGACACCCCATTGAGAGCCATTGAACCCCATTGAACCCCATTGAGAGCCATTGAACCCCATTGAACTCCCACTGCCTCTGCAACCCGGGGGTCTTCCAGTGCACGGGTACGGCCCCATAGCGCCCCATAGAACCCCATTGAGAGCCACTGAACCCCATTGAGAGCCATTGAACCCCATTGAACTCCCACTGCCTCTGCAACCCGGGGGTCTTCCAGTGCACGGGTACGGCCCCATAGCGCCCCATAGCGACCCCATTGAGAGCCATTGAACCCCATTGAACTCCCACTGCCTCTGCAACCTGGGGGTCTTCCAGTGCACGGGTACGGCCCCATAGCGCCCCATAGCGCCCCATAGCGACCCCATTGAGAGCCATTGAACCCCATTGAACTCCCACTGCCTCTGCAACCCGGGGGTCTTCCAGTGCACGGGTATGGCCCCATAGCGCCCCATAGAAACCCCATTGAGAGCCATTGAACCCCATTGAGAGCCATTGAAACCCATTGAAACCCATTGAGAGCCATTGAACCCCATTGAAATCCCACTGCCTCTGCAACCCGGGGGTCTTCCAGTGCACGGGTACGGCCCCATAGCGCCCCATAGCGCCCCACTGAACCCCATTGAACTCCCACTGCCTCTGCAACCCGGGGGTCTTCCAGTGCACAGGTACAGCCCCATAGCGCCCCATAGCGCCCCATAGCGCCCCATAGCGACCCCATTGAGAGCCATTGAACCCCATTGAACTCCCACTGCCTCTGCAACCCGGGGGGCTTCCAGTGCACGGGTAAGGCCCCATAGTGCCCCATAGCGCCCCATAGAAACCCCATTGAGAGCCATTGAACCCCATTGAGATCCATTGAACCCCATTGAAACCCATGGAGAGCCGTTGAGTCCCATTGAGAGCCATTGACGTCCATTGAGTCCCATTGAAACCCATTGAAACCCATTGAAACCCATTGCCCCCCCTGTAATGGGTGCCCCTATCAATGGTGCCCCTCCCACCCAATGGCTCCCCACATCAATGGGTCCCCCCACCCAATGGCTCCCCTCATCAATGGGTCCCCCCATCAATCCCCACCCACTGGCTAACCCCACCCAATGGCTACCCCCATCAATGGGTACCCCCACCCAATGGTTCCCCCCACCCAATGGTTCCCCCCACCCAATGGCTACCCTTCATCAATGGGTCCCCCCATCAGTGGGTTCCCCCACCCAATGGCTCCCCTCATCAATCCCCATCCAATGGCTCCCCCCATCAATCCCCACCCAATGGCTATCCCCATCAATGGCTCCCCCCACCCAATGGCTCCCCCCATCAATGTCTCCCCCGGTCAATGGGTGCCCCCCACCCAATGGCTCCCCCCATCAATCCCCACCCAATGGCTCCCCCACCCAATGGCTCCCCCCATCAATGTCTCCCCCGGTCAATGGGTGCCCCCACCCAATGGCTCCCCCCATCAATGGCTCCCCACACCCAATGGCTCCCCCCATCAATGTCTCCCCGGTCAATGGCTCCCTACACCCAATGGCTCCCCCCATCAATGTCTCCCACCCAATGGCTCCCCCACCCAATGGCTCCCCCCATCAATGTCTCCCCCGGTCAATGGCTCCCCCACCCAATGTCTCCCCTGGTCAATGTCTCCCCGGTCAATGGGTGCCCCCCACCCAATGTCTCCCCTGGTCAATGTCTCCCCCGGTCAATGGGTGCCCCCCACCCAATGGCTCCCCCATCAATCCCCACCCAATGTCTCCCCCACCCAATGTCTCCCTGGTCAATGGGTGCCCCCACCCAATGGCTCCCCCCATCAATGTCTCCCCGGTCAATGGGTGCCCCCACCCAATGTCTCCCCGGTCAATGGGTGCCCCCACCCAATGTCTCCCTGGTCAATGGGTGCCCCCACCCATGGGTGCCCCCCGCAGACACGTGCTACGTGCTGTCCTTCGCCGTGATCATGCTCAACACGAGCCTGCACAACCCCAACGTGCGGGACAAGCCCTCGGCCGAGCGCTTCGTGGCCATGAACCGCGGCATCAACGACGGCGGGGACCTGCCCGAGGAGCTGCTCAGGGTGGGCGGGGCCGGCACGCCATTGGCTGAGAGCGGCGGGGGGGCGGGACTGCACAAGAGCCTTCGGGGGGCGGGGCTTGGAGGGAGAGGGAGGGGCTAGGGAGGGCGGGGTGGGATGGGTGTGAATGGGAGGGGCTTTGGGGGCGTGGCTTAAGGGGGCGTGGCTGGGAGAAGGAGGGGCTGGGAGGCTTGGGTGTGAATGGGAGGGGCTTTGGGGGGCGTGGCTTAAGGGGGCGTGGCATGGAGGGAGAGGGAGGGGCTGGGAGGCTAGGGTGTGAATGGGAGGGGCTTTTGGGGGCGTGGCTTAAGGGGGCGTGGCTGGGAGGGAGAAGGAGGGGCTGGGAGGCTTGGGTGTGAATGGGAGGGGCTTTGGGGGCGTGGCTGGGAGGGAGAAGGAGGGGCTGGGAGGCTAGGGTGTGAATGGGAGGGGCTTTTGGGGGCGTGGCTTAAGGGGGCGTGGCTGGGAGAAGGAGGGGCTGGGAGTCTTGGGTGTGAATGGGAGGGGCTTTTGGGGGCGTGGCTTAAGGGGGCGTGGCTGGGAGGGAGAAGGAGGGGCTGGGAGGCTTGGGTGTGAATGGGAGGGGCTTAAGGGGCGTGGCTTGGAGGGGCTGGGAGGCAGAGTGGGCGTGGTCAAGGAGGGGGCGTGGTTTAGGGCGTGAATGGGACGTGGCTCAGAGGGAGGTGACTGCTGATTGGCTGGGAGGCGGAGGGGATGCGGGCTTGGGTGTGAATGGGAGGGGCTTAAGGGGCGTGGCTTGGAGGGGCTGGGAGGCAGAGTGGGCGTGGTCAAGGAGGGGGCGTGGTTTAGGGCGTGAATGGGACGTGGCTTAAGGGGGAGTGGCTCAGAGGGAGGTGACTGCTGATTGGCTGGGAGGTGGAGGGGATGCGGGCTTGGGTGTGAATGGGAGGGGCTTAAGGGGCGTGGCTTGGACTGAGAGGGAGGGGCTGGGAGGTGGTGGGGGTGTGGTTTGGGAGGGGCGTGTCTAAGGGTAGAGGTTAAGGGCCTATGGGAGGGGCTTATGTGACTATATGGGCTTTATGGGTGTGGTTTGTTGCTATGGGAGGAGCTTATGTGTCCATATATGGGCAATGGGTGTGGTTTATCGCTGTGGGCCGGGCTTATGAGTCTATATATGGGTTTTATGGGTGTGGTTTGTTGCTATAGGCTGGGTTTATATGCCCATATATGGACTGTATGGGCGTGATTTATTTCCGTGGGCGGGGCTTAGGGCTCTGTGGGCAGATCGGATTGGCTGTCAGGGGGTGTGTCCTGTCCTGACCCCGCCCCCTTGCCCCATAGAACCTCTACGAGAGCATCCGGAGCGAGCCCTTTAAGATCCCGGAGGACGACGGCAACGACCTGACCCACACCTTCTTCAACCCGGACCGCGAGGGGTGGCTGCTGAAGCTGGGTGAGCCCCTATGGGTGGCCCCACTCCCCGGGTCCCAATGGGGGGTTATCCCCATGCACACGTAACTGATGGAACCTCTTTCTGTTTCCCCTTCTCTGTACCCCCCATTCCCCCCAATTCCCTCCCCATCACCCCCCATTCCCTCCCCATCACCCCCCATCCCTCCCCATTCCCTCCCCATCACCCCCCATTCCCTCCCCATCACCCCCCATTCCCTCCCCATCACCCCCCATTCCCTCCCCATCACCCCCCATTCCCTCCCCATCACCCCCCCATCCCTCCCCATTCCCCGCCCGCCCCGCCCCCACAGGAGGTAGGTGCCCCCCCCCCTTTACCCATCCCCTTCCTCCTCCCATCCCCCTTTGGAACCCCCCCAATGTGGCTCCATGGGGACCCCCCCACACCTCACCCCCCCCCCCCCCCCCAGGCGGGCGGGTGAAGACGTGGAAGCGCCGCTGGTTCATCCTCACCGACAACTGCCTCTATTACTTCGAGTACACCACGGTGAGAGCCCAAAACAGCCCAAAATAATCCCAAACCAGCCCAAAATAACCCAAAACCAGACCAAAATAACCCAAAACAGCCCAAAATAACCCCAAACCAGCCCAAAATAACCCCAAACCAGCCCCAGATACCCCAAACCAGCCCAAAATAACCCAAACCAGCCCAAAATAACCCAAACCAGCCCAAAATAACCCCAAACCAGCCCAAAATACCCCAAACCAGCCCAAAATAACCCCAAACCAGCCCAAAATAACCCAAAACAGCCCAAAATAACCCCAAACCAGCCCAAAATAACCCCAAACCAGACCAAAATAACCCAAAACAGCCCAAAATAACCCCAAACCAGCCCAAAATAACCCCAAACCAGCCCCAGATACCCCAAACCAGCCCAAAATAACCCAAACCAGCCCAAAATAACCCAAACCAGCCCAAAATACACCAAACCAGCCCAAAATAACCCCAAAGCAGCCCCAAATACCCCAAAACAGCCCAAAATAACCCCAAATCAGCCCAAAATAACCCCAAACCAGACCAAAATAACCCAAAACCAGACCAAAATAACCCAAACCAGCCCAAAATAACCCCAAACCAGCCCAAAATAACCCCAAAACCAGCCCAAAATAACCCAAAACCAGCCCCAAATACCCCAAACCAGTCCCAGATACCCCAAAACAGCCCCAAATAACCCCAGCACAGCCCCAAATACCCCAAACCAGCCCAAAATAACCCTAAAACACCCCAAAACAGCCTAAAATCACCCCAAAACCTGCCAAAACAGCCCAAAATCACACCACAATACCCCCAAACCAGCCCAAAGTAACCTATAATCACCCCAAATCACCCCAAATCACCCCAAAATCCCCTGGAAACAGCCCCCAAACTACCCCCAACCTCCCCAAACCAAAGACACCAAAATGAGCCCCAAACCAGCCCCAAAGACACCAAAATGCCCCAAACCCACCCCGGGCTCCTATGACCCCCCCCCCATACCCCATTGGGAGCCCCTGACCCCCATTCTTGTGCCCCCCATCCCCAGGACAAGGAGCCACGCGGGATCATCCCATTGGAGAACCTGAGTATCCGGGAGGTGGAGGATCCCCGGAAGCCGGTGAGAGCCCCCCCAGTGCCCCCCATTGCCCCCCATTACCCCCATTGACCCCCATTGCCTCCATTGATCCATTCCATTACCCCCATTGCCCCCATTGCCCCCATTCCCCCACCCCCCATTGCCCCCCATTGCCCCCATTGACCCCCATTGCCTCCATTGACCCCCATTGCCTCCATTGATCCATTCCATTGCCCCCATTGTCCCTATTACCCCCATTCCCCCATTACCCCCCATTGCCCCCATTCCCCCCATTGCCCCATCACCCCCTGCTGACCCGTGCCCCCCCCAGCACTGCTTCGAGCTCTACATCCCCAACAACAAGGGGCAGCTCATCAAGGCCTGCAAGACGGAGGCCGACGGGCGCGTGGTGGAGGGGAACCACGTCGTGTACCGCATCTCGGCGCCCACCCGCGAGCAGAAGGACGAGTGGATCAAGGCCATCCAGTGAGTGCCCAACGGGCTCAAAGCACCCAAAACCGGGCGCAAAACACCCAAAACGGGCAAAAAACAACCAAAAACGGGCACAAAACACCCAAAACCGGGCGCAAAACACCAAAAAACGGGCAAAAAACACCCCGAAACGGGCACAAAACACCCAAAAATGGGCAAAAAACACCCAAAACGGGCTCAAAGCACCCAAAACCGGGCGCAAAACACCAAAACGGGCACAAAACACCCAAAAACGGGCTCAAAGCACCCAAAACCGGGCGCAAAACACCAAAAAACGGGCAAAAAACACCCCGAAACGGGCGCAAAACATACAAAAATGGGCAAAAAACACCCAAAACGGGCACAAAACACCCAAAAACGGGCACAAAACACCTAAAAACGGGCACAAAACACCCAAAAACGGGCAAAAAACACCCAAAAACGGGCAAAAAACACCCAAAAACGGGCGCAAAACACCAAAACGGGCAAAAAACACCCAAAAACGGGCTCAAAACACCCAAAAACGGGCGCAAAACACCCAAAACCGGGCACAAAACACACAAAACAGGCAAAAAACACCCAAAAACGGGCACAAAACACCCAAAACCGGGCGCAAAACACCAAAACGGGCACAAAGCACCCAAAACCGGGCGCAAAACACCCAAAAACGGGCAAAAACCACCCAAAAACGGGCACAAAACACCCCGAAACGGGCGCGAAACACACAAAAACGGGCAAAAACCACCCAAAAACGGGCTCAAAGCACCCCAAAACGGGCGCAAAACACCCAGAAATGGGCTCAAAACACCCAAAACGGGCTCAAAACACCCAAAATGGGCAAAAAACACCCAAAACCGGCTCAAAACACCCAAAACCGGCAAAAAACACCCAATAATGGGCGCAAAACACCCAAAAACAAGCAAAAAACACCCAAAAAACGGGCGCAAAACACCCAAAAGTGGGCAAAACCCACCCAAAAACGGGCTCAAAACACCCAAAACCGGACAAAAAACACCCCAAAACGGGCTCAAACAGCCAAAAACGGGGAAAAAACACCCAAAAACGGGTGCAAAACACCCCAAAACGGGTGACAAACGGCCCCAAACAGGCTCAAAACACCCCGAAACGGGTGACAAACGGCCCAAAACGGGCTCAAAACACCCCAAAACGGGTGACGAACAGCCCAAAACGGGCAAAAACCAGGCTCAAAACGGCCCCAAACGGGCTCAAAACGGCCCCAAACGGGCTCAAAACGGCCCCAAACGGGCTGAAACCACCCAAAAGCGGGCTGGAAACGGCCAAAACCAGGTGAAAACGCCCACTTTAAAGCCAGCCCTTGGAGACCCCAACCCCCCCCGGAGCCCAAGCTCCCCCCAGGGATCCCCCAAACCCCCTTGGGGACCCCGGATCCGTTCTGCCCCCCCCCAGGGCCGCGGTGAGCGTGGACCCCTTCTATGAGATGCTGGCGGCGCGCAAGAAGCGGATCTCGGTCAAGAAGAAGCAGGAGCAGCCCTGAGGGGGGGGGGGACACCCCCGGACCCCCCCCAGCCCCCCCCATGGCCCCCAATCGCGAGGGACCCCCACAAAGACCATGGGGGGGCACAAGGACAATGAGGACAGACTGGACCCCCCCCGGACCACAATGGATGCTCCCAGGACCTTAAGGACCCCCCCCCACGGACCACAATGGATGTTCCCAGGACCCCCCTGGACCACAATGGATGCTCCCAGGACCTTAAGGACCCCCCTTGGACCACAATGGATGCTCCCAGGACGTTAAGGACCCCCCTTGGACCACAATGGATGCTCCCAGGACGTTAAGGACCCCCCTTGGACCACAATGGATGCTCCCAGGACCCCCCCAGCACCACAATGGATGCTCCCAGGACCTCAAGGACCCCCCCAGCACCACAATGGATGCTCCCAGGACCTCAAGGACCCCCCCAGGACCACAATGGATGCTCCCAGGACCCCCCAGCACCACAATGGATGCTCCCAGGACCCCCCCAGCACCACAATGGATGCTCCCAGGACCCCCAAGGATGCTCCCAGGACCACCAGGACCCCCCCAGCACCACAATGGATGCTCCCAGGACCTCAAGGACCCCCCCAGCACCACAATGGATGCTCCCAGGACCTCAAGGCCCCCCCCCAGGACCACAATGGATGCTCCCAGGACCCCCATGGATGCTCCCAGGACCACCAGGACCCCCCCAACCCTTAATGGGTTCCCCCCCCATGGGCCCCCCCCCAACCCCTTTTGAGTTGGGGGGGGGGGTGTCACAGACACGGACCCTCCCATTGGACACATGGGGGGGGGGGGATGCACGCACACGTGGGGCTTCTGCTGGGCAGAACCCCCCCCGCCCCCCGGGTTTGGGGGGGTCCTCTGTGCCCCCCCCTTTTATTTATGGCTCTGCCCCATTAAAGCTGCCCCATTGAGGGGGGTCCGGCCGCATTGGGGGGGGTTTGGGGGGGGGCAGCATCTTCGTGTCAGGTTTTATTCCATGTTTTGGGGGGGGGAAACAGCATTTTGGGGGTGAACCCATTGGGGTGGGGTTGGGGGGGGGCAGGGAGGGGTCCCCTAAATGGGGACCAAGGGGTTGAGGGGGGGCTCATTGGGGGGGTCCCTATAGGGGGTGTCAGGGGATGGGAAGGTCCCATGGCGGGGGGGGGGAAGGTAATGAGAAGGTCCCATTGGGGGGGGGGTGTCCTACTGCTCTCAATGGGGGGGGGGGGGGGGCCGGGTAATGGGCAGGTTCCATGGGGGGCGGGGGCAGGGGATGGGAAGGTCCCATTGGGGGGGGGGGGGGGGAAGGTAATGAGAAGGTCCCATTGGGGGGGGGGGTGTCCTACTGCTCTCAATGGGGGGGGGGGGGGCAGGGTAATGGGAAGGTTCCAGGGGGGGGGGGGGCCGGGGATGGGAAGGTCCCATTGAGTGGGGGGGGTGGTGCTATTGCTCTCAATGAGGGGGGGCAGGGGATGGGACGCTGCCATTGATGGGCGGAGGGATGGGGGGGTCCCATTGATGGGGGGGATGGGGGTATGGGACGGTCCCATTGATGGGGGGGGATGGGACGGTTCCATTGATGGGGGGGGATGGGGGGGTCCCATTGATGGGGGGGATGGGGGGATGGGACGGTCCCATTGATGGGGGGGGGATGGGGGGGGTGCCATTGATGGGGGGGGATGGGGCGCTCCCATTGACGGGGGGGGGGATGGGGGGTCCCATTGATAGGGGGGGATGGGGGGGTGCCATTGATGGGGAGGGGGATGGGGGGGTCCCATTGATTGGGGATGGGGGGGTGCCATTGATGGGGTGGGGGATGGTGGGGGATGGGGGTTCCCATTGATGGTGGGGGATGGGGGGGGATGGGGGTTCCCATTGATGGGGGGGGATGGGGGGGAGGGGGGTTCCCATTGATGGGGGGGGATGGGGGGGATGGGGGTTCCCATTGATGGGGGAGGGGGGGATGGGGGGGTCCATTGATGGGGGGATGGGGGGTGCCATTGATGGTGGGGGAGGGGGGGGATGGGGGGGTGCCATTGATGGGGTGGGGGATGGGGGGGGATGGGGGTTCCCATTGATGGGGGAGGGGGGGGGTTCCCATTGATGGTGGTGGGGGGGGGATGGGGGTTCCCATTGATGGTGGTGGTGGGGGGATGGGGGTTCCCATTGATGGGGGGGGATGGGGGGGGATGGGGGTTCCCATTGATGGTGGGGGATGGGGGTTCCCATTGATGGTGGGGGGAGGGGGGGGTCCTCACGCGCAGGCCCGGAAGGGCCTCGCCGTGACCCCCCCGTGCAGCTCCAGCGCCGGGCGCGCCCAGGCCAGGACGTCCGCGGGGGGGCGCTCGCGGCACGCGGCCACCGCCGCCACCTCGGCGGCCGCCAGCGCCCGGCCCCAGAGCTGCAGCCCCGAGAGCGCCCCACGGAAGGAGCGGGACGGGTCAAAGGAGCCCCCCAGGGCGTCCTGCGGCACACGGGGACCATTGGGGCACATAGGGAACCATAGGGACACATAGGGACCATAGGGACACATAGGGACCCACAGAGACCCATAGGGACACATAGGGACACATAGGGACCATAGGGACCCATAGGGACACATAGGGACCATAGGGACACATAGGGAGCCATAGGGATACATAGGGACCACATAGGGACACATAGGGAGCCACAGAAACCCCATAGGGACCCATAGGGACACATAGGGACCCCATAGGGACACATAGGGACACATAGGGACCATAGGGACACATAGGGACACATAGGGACCCATAGGGACCCATAGGGACACATAGGGAACCATAGGGATACATAGGGACCATAGGGACACAT